GCACAGAAGAGCGGGAAGTAGTAAGAGGTTGGAAAGAGGGGAAGTGGGGTGTATTGATGATTTTAATGAAAGAGTAGCAGAAAGAAATGTGTGGTAGTAGGAGGCGAGATGGAATAAAAATCTAGGTGATGGGGGAAAGTGTGAGTTGAATAAATGAGGGAGTGGTTGGGCAAATGAAACCGATGAAGAGAGGGGAAATAAACCGTTGATGTTGGCAATGGAGATTTGATCGAATAATAGACAAGGAGAGAAGAGATTTAGGATGAGAGAGGTAAATTAAAATGGAGAGACGGGAAACGATAAAAGAATATAAAAAGCCTGAGAAATCGAGATTACATATATTTATATATATATATATATATATATATATATATGTAAATGTATGTATGTATGTATAAATATGAGCTGTGTTGATATATTTACAGCTCGACCAAAAAGGAATATCCCAAAGTTTGATATTTATTCAGTTGGTCAGATCAGAGTTGGTCGGGAAGAGAATTTTTCACCGGCGTTTAACCCAATTCCTTTCTTTCTTTCCTTCTTTCTTTCTTTCCTTCTTTCTTTCTTTCATATTTCCCGAATTTTCATTCATTCTTTCTCCCTACATTTATCTTTCTTTCTTTCTTTCTTTCTTTCTTTCTTTCTTTCTTTCTTTCTTTCATATTTCCCGAATTTTCATTCATTCTTTCTCCCTACATTTATATTTCTTTCTTTCTTTCTTTCTTTCTTTCTTTCTTTCTTTCTTTCTTTCTTAATATCTCCCGTATTTTATTCATTGTTTCTCTCCGTATTTCTCTTTCTTTCTTTCTTTCTTTCTTTCTTTCTTTCTTTCTTTCTTTCTTTCTTAATATCTCCTGTATTTTATTCATTTGTTTCTTCCGTATTCTTTTTATTCTTTTCTTTCTTTCTTTCTTTCTTTCTTTCTTTCTTAATATCTCTTGTACTTTTACTCATTGTTTCTCTCCGTATTTCTCTTTCTTTCTTTCTTTCTTTCTTTCTTTCTTTCTTTCTTTCTTTCTTTCTTTCTTTCTTCATAAATAATATTTCCCGCAATTTCATTCATTCTCTCTCCCTAAATTTCTTTCTTTCTTTCTTTCTTTCTTTCTAAAATTTACTAAAATAAGTAATCAAGTAATCGTTTTAAGTTATCTTAAAATCTGTGCCTTAAAATTTCTTTCCTTTTATTCATATTTCTTTTCTTTTCTATTTCTCAACTTTCGCTCACAATTTTCTTTCTTTCTTTCTTTCTTTCTTTCTTTCATAATATTCTCCGCATTTTCATTCATTATTTTTCATCTCTTTCTTTCTTGCTTGCTTTCTTTCTTTATTCCTTTCATAATAACTTCGCGAATTTTCATTCATTAATTCTCCTACATTTCTCTTTTTTTCTTTTTTTCTTTCTTTCTTTCTTTCTTTCTTTCTTTCTTTCTTTCTTTCACGATATCTTCCTCTATTTTCATTATTTCTTTATATTTAAATTTAATGTGAAAAAAAATCTCTAATACGAGTATCCGCTAAAAACGTTTAAGTAATGATATTTTTCGAATGTATAAATAAAAAATTCATCCCTTTCTTTAAAAATTGCTTTGTTTACGTCAAGATACTAACCTGGGCAGATAAATCTATTTCGAGAATCAGAAAAAGATCAGTCCTTAAAGGCACTATTCCGCTTGAGTTCATACGAACTCGAAAGGAACTATTTTGTGTGTATGCACCGTGTCATTATTTCGCATCTATGTCACGATGCATACACGCCAAACCTTTGAGTTCTTAGGAAGCAGGAAGAAAGTACGTTCCTTTCATATAAGCTGCCATACTCGGATACAATTTCAATATCTTTGCTTTACTCCTCACCTTCTATTACGCTTCGCGTTGTGAGTTTATTTTTTTTTAGATAATAAAACATTAGGAAATATATCGAAAAATCGAAACCAGTGTAACGTGATCGGCTTTTCTCTTATATTTTAGCTTTTAAATCTCTGCATGTTGCATTTTATTTTATTTTATTTATACGTGTATTGTACACTTTTTAATGCTACTGTTTCCTGGTCTAATCAAAAGTGATGTAGGCTATCGGGAACACGCACGCAGACAGGGATAGGAAGATATCTCTCATTAACACGTCTATCATCATCACTTCTCTTTGTAGTCTTATCAACACTTAGGCAGAAATTAACTTTTGCCAACAGCCCAGTAAGGAATTCAAGACTCACTAACAAATACAGAAAACGAACAATGAAACATTAAAAGAATATAAGGAAAAATTATTCCTTATAAAAAAAATAATTCCTTTTATTGTCTGAAGACGGTCACGAGACCAGAAGCGTAGCAGAAATATGAGGAATAAAATATAATATATCTTACTTATTGTAAAACGCAGATTGTGTGTGTGTGTGTGTGTGTGTGTGTGTATGTGTGTGTGTGTACGTTTATATATTGGATCTGATTTCCTACATTTTTCAACCAATTTCAACAAAACTTCACAGGACTACGTAAAATTACCTTGCGGTGATTCTGTCAGTGCCAAAAATTGGAAAAACACAATTGTTTTTGGACGAAATCAATTTGAAAACACGATTAAGAGGCATTAATGAAAGTGGGACAACTCATATCGAGTTATACTTCTTAATATCGAATTATACTTATTATAAAACCCAGGTTGTGTGTTTGTGTGTGTGTGTGTGTGTGTGTGTGTGTGTGTGTGTGTGTGTGTGTGTGTGTGTGTTCTTTTATATATGGGATCGGATTTCCTACATTTTTCAACCGATTTCAACAAAACTTCACATTTTTTTGGCATGTAGTGTTTCTTATTGTCTTGCACACTTTTTTCTTTATTTTTACATTCAGAATGCTTTAAAAATTCCATTTACAAGACAATTGTTTATAATAAAATTCTATTCAATCAGTAGACTCATAAACGATTGAAAACAATGTTTTTGTTTGAGCTTGGGTTTGACCAATTCGTAAAAAAAAAAACAACAAAAAAAAAAACAAACTAATTAAGACATGCGTGTCCGTCAACCTTAAACAATAATCTTTGTCAATTTTATTTTTCAGTCTTTATGGCAGTTATTTTTGTTTTTAAAACTGGAAACAAGGACAAAAAATTTAGAAAGTATTTATCAACATTTTGCATTAGCTATCCAAAAATATTTTAAATTCTTTATTAAAGATGCAAAATATCTGGAAAAAATCTGGAAGAAAAGATTGAGTTTAACAAATACAGAAGTAGAAAAAATACTGCATTTTAAAATACTAAAACAATTTCTTAATTACGAATGTGCGCTGGAGTGCTTCTTTAAGCCTCATCAAATACAAAGTGGCTGAAATTATAAACTCCATTTATACCAACTTTGAAATTTGAAGTGAATTTTGTTGTTTTAAGTTTTTTTTTTAATTTGCAAAAAATGTGAGCAAGTAAATTAGATTTGAAAATTAAAAATATGAAAAAAAAAAATGAAATTTAGCAAGAGAAAACCAGAAAACTTACGTTAAAGCCAAGGAAAAGGATCAAATTTTATTCATATTTAAATATGTCTGGGTGCTTATGTATTATAATCTGAGTGTGTTTGTATTGTTTTACGCGAGAGGTTAGCACCCCACTCACACACTCGGGATTAAAATGTATACATTTTGTCGGGAAGACCAGCTGCTCTTAGCGTCTATTCTAACGTAATTTTTCAATGAAGAAATAAATTGAATAACATATGTATTTTTTCTTTTCTCCTCAGTAATTTTATAATTTTAAACTTAATAGTGATTAAATTTAGATTTTAAAATTGGTAATTTTTTACTTTTTTTTTTGTAAAAGCGTTTTCCCTTTGCGAAGGATCGTTAATTAATTTGAAACTTTTAAAACCATTTATTTTACATTCAACATCATCACTTGATAAGACACCGGATGTGTTGAAACAAAATGGCTATTTTTGTAGTGATTTTATAACATATTTATGTTATAATTTTTAAATAAATAATTATATCCGCTCTACTCTGTATTGAGCACTCTTTTAAAAATAGTAATTGTTGGTTATTGGAATTTATTCAGTATACACCAATCATATACTTGTATATATATATATATATATATATATATATGATTGTGTATTTGGACAACAAACCCTCTTTTAGACAAGATTCATTAAAGTTGACTGGCAAGGTTCTGCGATTAAACTTTTTAGTCAATATTTCTTGTATTCGTATAAGTGATTTCTTTTCTGTCCATGGAGTATTACTGCCATATATGGTCTGGAGCATCTTCTGTTTGTCCCAAGGTCCTTGATAAAATCCAGAGACGGATATGAAATGTAATTGGCCCTGATCTGGCATCTCGTCTGCAGTCACTTTGAACAGACGTGCCGTCGCCTCCCTCTGTCTTTTTGACAAATACTTTCATGGTAACTGCTCCGATGAGCTGCTTTCGCGGGTTCCCAGATTTCATGAATTTAAGCGCTTAACTAGGCTGACATCTTGGACTCACCCTTTCACTGTCGAAACTGTTAAATGTAGCCGTCTCTTCTACTCCAATAGCTTCATGTCTCGCACTTCTCGCCTGAGGAAATCCCCCCTTTTCCTGTTTCCCTGATAGCTATAATCTCCAACTATTCAAATGTAATGTCAATCGACGTCTCCAGATGCCCTGATTTATCCACTATCCTTCTCTTCATCCTTTCCTCTATCACTCCTATATACTCTCAATCCAAATCCTATGTAAACCCTGGCGTGCTATTGGCTTCCAGCCTTGCTTGTGGTGAAACAGTTTAAAAAATGTGTAATATATATATATATATATATATATATATATATATATATAATAAAAAGAAAACAGATATAAAATTATTATATACTATAATATATATACTGAAATGCAATAGAGAAAATAGTTCTCAAATTTTAAAATTCCAGTTAGCAGTTACGTTTCTTTCACATCGGGCCCCTTTTCCCTTCATCAGGACCTTTATCGGAAAATCGAGAATTAGCGCTTAAATCACATCGACACAGTG